GATTTTGAAATGTTATACCTTTTTGAATTCGTAGGGATCCCTACTATCAATTGGCATTCAAACATTTCAAAAATCGATGGGTTGAAAAAAGTGGTTAACCAAAAACCGATTCATTTGTAAAGTCAACCTCTTTAGATGATTTTTTGGTATATCTCGGACAAATAATGTCCGATTTGGGAATTTTATACCATTTTGGACTCGTAAGGATCAGTACTATCGATTGGCATCACAAAAATGAAAATCTAAATTTTTACCCAAATCGTCAAAATGGCAAGGGGTTACATCACGTTTTTTCTAAAAATCGGGGTCGGTTCGAAAATCCTCACTTTTTTGATTATTTTTTTTGAATATCTCGGGTAAACATTGTCAGATTTTGAAATGTTATACCTTTTTGAATTCGTAGGGATCCCTACTATCAATTGGCATTCAAACATTTCGAAAATCGATGGGTTGAAAAAAGTGGTTGACCAAAAACCGATTCATTTGTAAAGTCAACCTCTTTAGATGATTTTTTGGTATATCTCGGACAAATAATGTCCGATTTGGGAATTTTATACCATTTTGGACTCGTAAGGATCAGTACTATCGATTGGCATCACAAAAATGAAAATCTAAATTTTTACCCAAATCGTCAAAATGGCAAGGGGTTACATCACGTTTTTTCTAAAAATCGGGGTCGGTTCGAAAATCCTCACTTTTTTGATTATTTTTTTTGAATATCTCGGGTAAATATTGTCAGATTTTGAAATGTTATACCTTTTTGAATTCGTAGGGATCCCTACTATCAATTGGCATTCAAACATTTCAAAAATCGATGGGTTGAAAAAAGTGGTTGACCAAAAACCGATTCATTTGTAAAGTCAACCTCTTTAGATGATTTTTTGGTATATCTCGGACAAATAATGTCCGATTTGGGAATTTTATACCATTTTGGACTCGTAAGGATCAGTACTATGGATTGGCATCAAAAAAATGAAAATCTAAATTTTTACCCAAATCGTCAAAATGGCAAGGGGTTACATCACGTTTTTTCTAAAAATCGGGGTCGGTTCGAAAATCCTCACTTTTTTGATTATTTTTTTTGAATATCTCGGGTAAATATTGTCAGATTTTGAAATGTTATACCTTTTTGAATTCGTAGGGATCCCTACTATCAATTGGCATTCAAACATTTAAAAACCCGATGGGTTAAAAAAAGTGGTTGACCAAAAACCGATTCATTTGTAAAGTCAACCTCTTTAGATGATTTTTTGGTATATCTCGGACAAATAATGTCCGATTTGGGAATTTTATACCATTTTGGACTCGTAAGGATCAGTACTATCGATTGGCATCACAAAAATGAAAATCTAAATTTTTACCCAAATCGTCAAAATGGCAAGGGGTTACATCACGTTTTTTCTAAAAATCGGGGTCGGTTCGAAAATCCTCACTTTTTTTATTATTTTTTTTGAATATCTCGGGTAAATATTGTCAGATTTTGAAATGTTATACCTTTTTGAATTCGTAGGGATCCCTACTATCAATTGGCATTCAAACATTTCAAAAATCGGTGGGTTAAAAAAAGTGGTTGACCAAATACCGATTCGTTTGTAAAGTCAACCTTTTTAGATGATTTTTTGGTATATCTCGGCCAAATAATGTCCGATTTGGAAATTTATACCATTTTGGACTCGTAAGGATCAGTTCTATCGGTTGGCAAAAATCATCTAAAATGTTTTATAAACGAATATTTTGTTGTCTAAAAAGTTGATGTTACTCCTCGATTTTGGATTTAATTGCATGCAAAATGATAGTAGCGAGAGTACACATTCAAAAAGCTACAACATTCCAAAATCAGACTTTATTTACCCGAGATATTCGAAAAATATCATCATAAAAAGGTCGGAATTTCGAACCGACCCCATTTTTGATTAAAAATTGAAGCTCCTTGTTTGTTTTCAAAAATTATACTTAAGTAAAAAATTGGCTTATACATATATATACATTATATTTGTATATCTACATATTGATATCTGCTTAATACCTTCTTCGCACCTGCCCTTGCCTTCATGCTTTTACTCTCAGCACGGACACGCAAAAAACATGCCACTTGCCAACACTACACTGTTGATTTATCAAAAAAATACCATGCACGCCCATCTCTAGTTAAACATCGAGAAATTTTCCATAGCATTCCAAAAGTCGACAAATTGTTGCAGTAGTTGAGGCTGCTGGCACATTTTCTCCATGTGTCTCTCTCTCTCTCGCGTTGCCCAACACTGGTAACCACACACCACAACAGCTCGTCACTGTCAGCTGCAACTGCAACAACAACTTTGGTTACTTACGCAGACCGTTTCACAGCTCAAAGTGGGGACAGCGGCTCGATGCGTCGGGGAGATGCTCTATAGAGCGTTAATTTATTTTCAATTATGCCCAAAGTTGCAGAGTTTATCATTCACACATTATGAAACTTTCCCAAACATATCAAATATTTGTGCCGCCTCCTTATTAACAGAAAGAAAAGTCGCTTTCCTGGGTTAGGAAATTGTTTTGGGCGCCTTCTTACTCTGCTTTTGTCTCGCCTTGTCCAACACTGGGACTTTATAAAGTGTATTTCTGCACAAATTTTGACTAAAGTGTAGATAAAATGATTTAATTGTGGTCTGAACAAATATTTCATTATCAGCTCATATTTATTATACCAAGCTCAGCTAGAGCTAAGCCCTGATGAGTCGAAAGGTTGAGCAGAGCTCTTACCCGAATCCTTGGACCGGAGTTTGCTGCAGTCTTCCACATATGTGTTTTATTTTATTTGTATTTTATTTTTCTGGCCAGTGCTGGAATTCGCAAATGAATTACCAGCTGGGCCCGCTCCCAGGCTCCATCAGATTGCGGCGAGTTGAATGATGTTGACGTTTGCTCGGGCTGCAGCCACTTCCAATTTGAACACATGCCACACGGACAGCGTCCACTGCCGGACAGCACCCAAGCCCAGTCCACAAATCCCAGCTATATATACATATATATATAGAATGAAGCGCATTGAGATTCTAGAAATAAATCATGTCAGACTGAATCATCGGAGATTTGAGTGCACTCGCTTGATGAGTGCACCCGCAACTGTTGATTCGCATTCAATCAGCCATGGGAAATTACCTTTAAGTGTAAAAACGAATGCACATTACGAATTGCAATTGCGCATTTTAATTAAGTTCATTTAAAATTATGCCTAAATTAAAATTTACTTTTAACAGCTGCAAATTGGCATACAAATTTTCAGTGAGGTGTGAATGATTCCTGGTAAATTTTATGTACATAAATTGACTTGAAATCGCATTAAAGGAATCCCCTAATTATAATTCCATTTGAATTCCGTGTAATATTTAGATTTAAGACAAAATTGACAAGCTGTATGCGAACTCCAAAGAGCAAAGAATTGTTAGAATAGAATAGCTAAGAATATGTTAGAATAGAATTTGGATGGATGTAATACTTCTTTATTCCTTTGTGAATGTAAAGCGGCGCATATATATACATATATATAATTTTTAAGATATTTTATATATACTAAATTGTGTAAATTTAAGTCCTATATTCTCTTAGTTACAGTAGGTCAACCTTAGCAGTAGTAGCTGGAAATCTGACAATGTGCTCATTAAAGGATTCTCCCAACTATAATTCCTTTTAAATTCCGTATAATATGAAGATTTTATGCAAATTTTACAAGCTGTATGCGAAATCCGAAAAGCACAGAATTGTTAGAATAGAATAGAAAGAAATTGAATATGATTTTAAAGGATGTAATTCTTCTTTATTCCATTGCGAATGTAAAGCGGCGCGTATTACAATTTCAAAGATATTTGATATATATTTAACTTGGATGAATACACATTCGAAATTTTCGAGCATTAAGGCTCATAGTCTCTTAGTTACGATGGGTTTACCTCAGGAGAAGTAGCTGGTAAAAGTTGTATGTCATCTTTTTGTGAAATTCTTATGGTTAGCCATTATATGGGCACAAAAAAATATATGAAGTTTATAAAGAATTGTGTTTGGAAGCTAAAATACAAACTTAAAAGCAATTATTTGGTGTATCTGCTTGTCAGGCAAACGACTAAGGAATCTAAGGAATCGGATCGCCCGGCTAGAAACTCAGACTCGGTAAGTGCACATTTCATTATTTTCATGGTTTATTGCATACATAGATTTGCACAACTGGCAGCTGGCCCTGTTGCGCCATATTCGGCTTAAAGGTTATATACATATAAAGCCGGGGTAAGAGGTATACAAATGCTGGTTTCCAGGTCTAATCAAATAATTCTGTTTGCAGTACACAAACAAAACCAGCAACTCAGGCAAATGCAATTATGAAAAGGAGTAAGACGAATAGATGAATAGAATGGATAATTAAAGGAGTCGCAAGCAAAGACAAACTAAAGCTAGACAAAACTTAATCGGATTAATTATTATATATATTGCATATGCGCGTGAAAGACACACGTTGCATGCTTGAGTGGCATGCTAATGAGGGCCTTGCCACGATTGACAGACAGAGAGCCGCAACCAAATGTGGAGCCGCACACGGCTTCAATCCTGTCCGTGCAACGTCAGCCACGTCAGCAAGTGCAGCAAGTGGCAGCTGAGCACTGCGCCAAATGGTAGCTGCTGCAATTCATTAACAATTAGCAGTCAGTGTCTGAAGTGGCGCCCAACTGCAGACAATTGCCACAGCTTGCAGCATGTGGCGCAGGCTGTGGCATGGGTCAGGCCATTTGCCAGGCGCGAACACGTGCGCTTTTATGAGGCCTTGTGGTGCGACAAAAACCAAAAGGGATTTACACGAAAACCCGATTTAATGATGCCTCATAAATGGGATGCAAAGCAGGCAGCTTTTATGGCGCGCAACGGTCGCAATAAGATTGCACAAATCGCGTACCTGGGCGGGCTCAGAAAATGATTGCCCGCCGGCAGGTAAAATAGCAACTGGCCTTAAATACAGCTGCCGCAGAGGTGACAGCACACAGAAGCTTCTCGACAGCCAGACGAGCAACACGCAAAGTACACACACACACACACACACATCTACATTCGCCATCACATCTCAAGCATGGGCAACACACACTCCGACGCCGGCAGCTCAGGTGGCAGCAACACGACACAGCCCAGCGGCTGCTGTGGCTGCTGCCTGTCGCCACGCCCACAATTCGGCCAATTGCTGGCCAAGCTGCGCCGCACTCTGACACGGCATTTGCGGCCACGTAAGCGACGCAGCGGCGGCGGCTTTCAGCGCGGCTGCGGCGCACGCACCGCTCTGCTGCGTCCCATGCCGCGCTGCTCCTCCTTCGGCAGCTGCAGCACCCTGTTGATGCCGCCCAGCGGCAAGTGCGGCGCCCAGAAGCAGCAGCCAACGCAGTCGGACAACAACTATGCGCAGTGGAAGTGCATGTTCGAGCATGCGGCTGGCAAGCGCCTGTTGACGGCCGCGCAGCGTCCGCACGACATCAGCGAGGCGCTCTCGGGGCAGACAACGCCGCACGGCTTTCCCTCGCACACGGACGCACGTCGCTGCCCGCAGCACGAGGAGCAGCAGCAGCAGGAGCCGCCGCTCTATGAGGAGTGCGTCGTGGGCGACGTGAAGGTGCGAAGCCGTCTGAGCTTCCGTCTGCCCGGCAGCAGCCAGAGCAGCGTGCGGCGTCTGACGGCACGCCAGAAAGCCGCCCAGGCCAAGCTGGAGGAGCAGCTGCAGCGGGAGTTATGCGATCTGGAGGAATACTATGGCGGCTTTTACTATGCGCGTCGCAACGAACGACGCATTTGATCGCATTTAAAGAAGCGAAATGGAATCCGTAATGTGATAGCTTTTAAAATTCGTATTTAAGTAAATCAAAAATTGTTTTAGTTTGAATAAAATTCGATCTGAAATGTATGTAAGACAGTACAAACAAAGCAATCAATCAATCAATCACTTAGATTAAAATAAGACCAACGGTTAAGTAAATAATTGTACGCATGAGACAATCAATAGAAATGCAGAGTTGCAAATTTAAAGTCAATCAATCAGTCAATCAAAACAAAAAATGACAATGTGCGAAGTATAGGAGAATAAAACAACCTAGACATCTACTTAGTCAATAATCTAATATAATTATATAGTTTATATACAATTGGTTTCTATCAATAAATAAATCAATCAATCGGATTTGATGTATTGAAACGAACTTTCAACCATGTTCTGAATGTAGAATAGACCAAATAAGGGGTAACATATCTCCGCCTTTCGTACAAATGCCTGAATTATGTTTTTGTAGATCTGACAGTCCGTCGATCAATCAATATAAATGGACGTAGTATAATAGGTATGTATAATCAGTAGGTCAATCATTATGCATGTCACTAAGTAATATGCAGTCCATAAACAAACTAATTGATTGGTCAGTCAACAAAATTTTTTGAACAAATTATATGAAGCAATTAATCAATCAGTTGGTCAATCAATCAATTGATTGAAATTGAAAGAGTTTTCCATAAAAAATTTTACCTTTATGCATTTGATCAATGTGTAATAGTCGAAATGAACAAATCAATCAATCAATCAATCGATAGATTAAAGTAACTTCAATTAATTAGATTGGAATATACATTTCATATGGATAAAGGTCAACATTAAAAGGAATCGCGGTCATTTACTGAGCGGGTAAAAAGCCAAAACCGAAATGAATACAAATTAATCCTCAGTCTCTGATGTATGAAGATGAAACTGGCTTTTATGAAATGGGACAGTAATTGGGGGCATTTGTATTGCCAGCTTTTATTTCAGTTGGGGCAACCGCCGCAGACGATTCTTTGCAGTTGGCCAAAATAGCTAACGCCCCTAAATGGGGGCAGGGTCACTGGCGGCGGCAATTAATCAGCGTCAATGAATTTGCTGCCAACTCACAAAGCCAAAAAGAAAAGCCAAAAAAAAGTAAATAAAACTAAGCCAAAATGCAGCCAGAAATGCAACAGTCGAAAGAACGAGAACAAAATCGTGTGGCAAGAGGCAACAAGGCTGGGGCTATGAGTGTGTGTGCGTGTGTGTGTGTGGGGGGGCGGCGGGGGGTTTACGTGAGTCTGTGAGGTTTTGCAATTAGTCGGACCAACACTTTGTAATACCCTTAATAAAATTTAAGCCCTGCAGTACTTGGGCGAGGGAGATGGGGCAACAGATTGCAATTTGTCAGTGAAACGTTTACGAACGACGAAAAAGTGGAACAGCTCGCGAGGAGGTGTGAAAAAAGGGTAGAGATTCTGAGCGAAAAGCAGTGAAAGAGAGCTTTGTAGTTGAAAGAGAGAAAGATAAACACCATAAGAAAAAGTATGAAATATAGTTAAGGATGTAGAGAAAATGATAAATAGATCGATATGTATCTCATATATATACAAAGGGGCTGCGAGAATGGGGGAAACAGAGAAAGATAAATATTGAAAGAAATAGAAAGACGAAGGAAGTTACATGGATAACATCTTTATGAAGAAAGAGCCATAGCAGAGCTAAGCATGAGATGAAGATTGATAGAGAGGGAAAGAGGGAGAAGGCGAGAAAAGAAGGCTGATGTATGATGATATATTTTTCAATATATGAAAACAAAATAGCTAAGAAATTGAAGTAGACAGATAAAAATACAGGGAAGAAGGCACAAAAAGGTAAATAGAACAAAAAGTAAAAACAAATAAAGAAAGGGAGATAGAGAGAGAGAGAGAGAGAGATACGAAAACTATGTGGTTAATGAATGATTATGCATGTAAATGTTTGATGATATATCTATATATAATATATGTGTGACATATGCATGATCTATGTATGATATATGTATGATATGTACATGATGTATGTGTATTGTACGCACAATATTTGAATGAAGTTTGTTGATATATGTGTGATGTATATGATGTATGTATGATGTATTTATGATTTATGTATAATATATATATATATATGAATCATAAAAATAAATATGCATGATGTATGAATTAAATATGTGTAATGTATATTATGTACATACGTCTGATATATTCATATGTATGATGAACAAGTGACATCTAAATGATATATGCATGATGTATGACTGATGCGGGAATAATCTACGTATGATACATCATATGCAATGCAATATATACATATATATAAAGTATGTATGATATATGCATGATGTATGAATGCTTATGTAAGATGTATGAATGATGTTTGTATAATAACAAGGAATTTTTCAGAAAATGTACTCTTGAATATCTTACAAAATAAAGAGTATTACATCTATCTATCTGGCTCTGCTGTTATTTATTTTATTTGCTTATTTTCACTTGTAATTTTTATCGGGCCTATCAATCAGCCAATTTCACAGCTCCCACCGATTTGTATTGATGATGCGTCTTTTCTATTTTGAAAATTGTTTGTTTTCCTTTGCAGCTGTCGCTGATGATTTCAATTTTATTGAGAATAAAAGCCAAGGAAAATGCAAAATGTGATATTCATTCATTAGTCAGGAAAAAAAAAAATAAGAAATGGGTGAAAAAAAATGTTGCGTTGATATGCGTCGGGCTGGTTAAGAGGTTTGACGAGTGGGCCAAAAGATTTATGAGGCTGCCAAGTGGCAGGCGAAATGCCAGAGACGACGCGCCACATAATGCAAATGCCGCAATGATATATTTGTGGCACTTGTGGCGCCGACAGACGCGAGGCACACGCGAAAAAAAGATGACAACAAGTTGAACGAACCGCATAGCTGACCACAAAAATTGGCACAAGTTCACACAGAGAACGAGAGAGAGAGAGAGAGAGAGAGAGGGGGGTGAGGGGTAGGCGGGGAGGGAAATTGGTAGCAAATGAACTCAATCAATGGCTGAACAACATTTTAGGCCTAGTTAAATCAGAGCTACTACCAAACAACAGGCAACATTTGCCATCATATCGGCCACATTTATCCGAATTGTTGTTGCCCCCCACCCGAAGCCGAATGCCAGCCCCCTCGTCGCACATATCATTCCATTTGGATATTGTCCACTTAGAGTGGGTTCGGACCTACTTTGAGCAAATCGATAGGCAAAGCCAAAAGCCACAAACGACGCGTCACGTGCGCTTCGCCAGGCAAACAAAATCAACAAATGAAAACTAATAGGCAATTATAAGCAGCAAAACAGAAAAACGGAACAAGAAAAACAGAAGCAGACAGACAGACAGACGGACAGACAGACAGACAGACAGGCAGGCAGAGAGACAGTCAAATGTAGCATGCAACATGCGGCAACACGCGGCGTATGAGTAACGCGTGTTTACCAAATGTCGCACTCAAACGCCGAGCAGCTAATAAGAGCAAGTCAACCGCACAGCTGAAAACAATAATACGACTATCGAATACCCTAAATGCAATATTAACCCGGCTACTTTCCAGTTAAGCATGAAAATGTATTTACTTAGACTAAAGTGATATGAATTAAGTGCTAAAAGCCTGTAAAACATTTAAGAATGTGGTCAAAGTAGAAAGAGAAGAAGCGAGTGCTGTTAAGAGAGTCAACGCCGGAGATTCGGCGCTCATTTAAAGAATATATTTTTGCAACCCAGCATTAACAGAGTAGTCTACTTTTATGAACAAATCACAACAGAGGCCTCCACTGGAAGGGTATTCGGATGTAAGAAGACAACAAACAGCAAAAACAGAACGAAACGGAACAAAGCCGCTCGGATTGGCCAAGAGCCAAAAGCAAATAACAAAGACGAAACGCTGGCCGGGGGGAGGGGGAGGAGGGACGGGGGGCATACGCAAAAGAAGAGACAGCGGAAGAAGAGCAGCAGCAGAGAAAGACAAACAGCCGGCAAATACTTTTCAATTTCGGGCACAGACTTAATGCCGCTCGCTGCAGTCGAGGCCGAGGCCAAAGCCGAGTCGCAATGAATCACAGCGTACCCCCCCCCACCACCCCCCCCCCCTTCCTATTCCCTACACCCTAACCTACCAGCAAGGGCAATTACGGAGCGCTTAAAGGGGGGCCCGAGGGCTGCTGACGGGGATACAACATTAATAATTGCATACGTGCAGTCTCCGAGGCTGGCAACATTTTGGATAATCAAATAAATTTGTCAGTTTATGCGCGTTGCCACATTTCACGCATTTTAAGTGGTTCGCGACACAGTCACTTCGCCTCTCCCCTCCCCCCTGCCCCACTCAACAACCATCGTTTATTCCCATTTTGTGGAAGTTTCTCTATGGACTTCCCAGTCTGTGGTTTTAGCTCTGCTGCTGCTGGGGCCGCTATTTTTAAAGCCTCAAAACTTAATCATTCGATAATTTGGAGTTTATTTTCAATACCCTGTACGCAATGTGTTAAAGAGTATATTGGTTGGATATCATTTTTGAAATTTGCCAAATTAATACTTGTGCTTATAAGCACCAGAAAGAAATAAAAATTAAGCTCCACATATAGCTGTCACATTTTTAGGGCCAAGGTCATTTTAACGATGAGAGTATGAGCCACAAATATTGCAGCGACGCTTAAAGATTACAATAATCTACTTTTATTTTCACAGTTTGAAATTTCGATTGCTTGACAGGGTATCGCAGCGCTGCCAGCCGTTCTTATTTGTTTTTTTTTTTATACTTATAACAGCTTATGTATAACAGCTCATTGAGGCGTGAGGTGGCCGTGCATGTGTTTGTATGTATGCGAAGTTGTGGTGCGTGCGTGTGTGTGAGAAGCGAAGCGAAGTTGTTATCTGCGTGTGTGTGTGTGTGTGCTAGACAGACAGCTGTGCAAGGCTTCAAGCATTGAAGAGTGCTACGATATGTAGATATACACACACACGCAAACACATACACACACACACACACCCATACACACAAGCTCCCACACACTCACATACACTCCGTTAGACTCTTATTCTATTTGTAGCCTGTGAAATTCGATTTTG